ATAATGATAATAAAACAAGTAAACAGCTGAGATCAAAACAAAAAGTGATTCGTGTGGTCCAGTACAAATGCACAGACTGGAAATCTGGAAGCTCTGTGCAAAATGGATTTACAATAGTAGATTTTCTTCGAAGCAGTAGTTCTGTTATGTCAGGGGTGTCCAAATTCAATCCTTGAGGGCTTTTGCTTCAACTTGACTCAACACACCTGCAAGGATGTTCCTAGAAAGCCTTGTAAAGCTGCGGTCACGCTGCACTTTTCTCCCTATAGACTTCCATTCATACGCAACCGAATGCAACACACTGCAAACGCAAGCAACAAGTTTCGCAGGCTGCTATGTTGCAAAATTCAAGCTTAGTGACCTGCGAGATCGAATCATGTGATTTCGTGAGACCAATCGAAGATCATAACATGACCTCTCTGTGCAGACATTTTAAATATTGACCAATCGCTTGCTTTTTTTAAATGTTGTCTTGTTTAATCCCGCCCCTTTTCGAAGTGCCGTACGACTCCGACACTCTAGTGTGACCACAGCATAAGAGCTTGATTAGGTATCCCAGGTGTGTCTGATTAGAGTTGGAACTAAACTTTGCAGGACACCGGCCCTCCAGGACTGAGTTTGGGCAACCCTGGGTTATGTAAAAACATGTATAGCACACACACACACACACACACACACACACACACACACACGCACACACACAAATGGTATGAAAAATAAAACACTGAAAGAGAGGAAGCAATCTTGTCTGATCTGCTTGATATCTGTAGTCATTTTGTCAGTTTATGCAAATAAAACATCTGAATCATGTGTACACACACACACACGAACATAGGCTGCACAAACTGAATTTATATGCAGTTAAATTCATGTGAACAAGGAAATATCAACGTAGTGTATTGACTGATCAAACATTTATTATTCAATAAAAATCAAACTGAATATCTGTTTTAAAAGTAGACGATTGAATGAATTATTTAACTACATTACTAATGAAACATTTAAGACGCTTTTAAAAAAAAACTTTTTAATCATTTTGCAGAACTTGCAACTTGAGCGTTGCTGATAGAGCAAATATTATAACATTATCTTGATTATTATTGGTGATTATACGCCAGATGTTACTCCTTTATATATATAGATATACATATATAAACCATTAATCATTTTTTAATTTTAATTTTTTTCTTTTTTTGAGCTAAAATGCCATTCAATTTAAATTTTCATAACTGCAATGGGAAAAAATGCTTCCTTTTCTTATATTTGTTTGCCTTGTTTCTAGTACAATTATCTAACAATTCTTACATAAAGAAGCATTTTTAGACGAGCAAAACATATTGTCTTGTTTTAAGAAATAATATGTCAAAATTAAGACAAAAAAACAAGGAAAGTAATCTGCCAATGGGGTGCGCAAAATATTCTTATACCAAAATCAAAAACAAGATTATTTTAATTACCCCATTGGCAGATTATCTAGCTTGTTTCAAGGACAAACTCACTTAAATTTGGCATATTATTTCTGAAAACAAGACAATATGCTTTGCTTGTCTAGAAAACACCTCTTGATTTAAGAAATTGGAGATATTTGGACAAGAAAAAGTCATGCTGTGTTCACACCAGATGCGGCACATGTGAATAAATCCCTGTAAATAGATGCGTGAACATGTTGAGTTTACTCACTTCATTTGCGCGTCAAATTCGCTTATATTAGATGTGGATTTGCATCATTGGTGGGGCCTCTGACTGACTTCATTGCTAACATGAATTTTATTCAGAGTGTAGCTGTGCTTTAAATGCTTTAGGAAGGCTGAAAAACAGCATCTATTTGTTCGGTGCCATGTCTAAGTCCATTAGATCTTTTTACAGCCACACAGCTCTATCAGAATCTATCAGCTTTGCCTTTAATTAAAAATTATAATACACTATTACAGTACAATTTTTTTTTTGTGTCAAGTAGCTGTGTAATAAGTGGGATAAAGGTTAGTGTATGCTCCATTCAGCTGTTTAATTTTTTTTTTTTTTTTGCATAGATCCACACAGCACTGTGAGTTTATCAACTCCTCCAGAGACTGTACCTGGATGATGGAAGCTTTCAACAGTGCTTCAGACTAAGCCCAGTCCAGTTTGATGAGCTGTTGTCTGGTGTCGACAGGAAGATTTCCCCTCAGGACACACACAACAGGCACTACGTCATACTCACGCCCCATACAGGAGCAAGCTCCTGATTGGTTAACGTGGCGGGGATCTCAGCAAAAGTTGAGATATTCCAACTTGAGCAAATCGCGCGTTAAGTGCATCAAATGCACAAAATGCTCAATTCACGGCAACTTTATTTGCATGAATCACGCCGCAGGATGTCTATTCACGCCTTTGCATTGACAACATGTAAATCAACTCACGCTTGACTCACAGCCGTGCCTGGTGTGAACGCACCATCAGAAAAGCAGTGTTGCAGTGTGTCAATCAAATGTCAATCAGAAGTTGCCTTCCACTTGAATATTCAAGCAGATCTTGACCAATCAGCTGACAGATACTGAAATACTCAAACTAATCTGAAATATTTCAAATAAATCAAATTCCTTAAAAGCTGAAATCTGTCATTTCTCTCCCCATATACTGTCCCATCCTTAATATGAAGTCTAATTTTAACTTACAAATTTGGATTTTTGTTTGAGACATGTCAGTGTTTGCACCATTACATACAGTTGAAGTCAAAATTATTCGCCCTCCTGTGAATGATTTTTTTCAAATCTTTCCCAAATGATGTTAAACAGAGCAAGGAATTTTACGTCAGTATTTCCTATAATATTTTTTATTTTTTCTTTATTATTCCGGCTAGAATAAAAGCAGTTTTATTTATTTTTTTAACCATTTTAAGATCAATATTATTAGCCCCCTTAAGCATTATTTGTTTTCAATTAAGTACAGAACAAGCGGCGCGTTGGCGCAGTGGATAGGGATGTCGCCTCACAGCAAGAATGTCGCTGGTTCGAGCCTCAGCTGAGTCAGTTGGCATTTCTGTGTGGAGTTTGCTTGTTCTCCCTGTGTTCGCGTGGGTTTCCTCCAGGTGCCCATTTCCCCCAAAAGCCCAAAGACATGCGCTATAGGTGAACTGGGTAAGCTAAATTGTCTGCAGTGTATGGTTGTGAATGCAAAAGTGTATGGCTGTTTCCCAGTACTGGGTTGCAGCCGGAAGAGCATCCGCTTTGTAAAACATATGCTGGATAAATTGGCGGTTCATTCCGCAGTGGCGACCCCTAATAATTAAGGGATTAAGCCGAAGGAAAATAAATGAATGTAGTTTTGGTTGAGACCTAGAGACTTGACACTTGGTCAGTAATGTGCGCCACTGCACAGTTGCCATGAATCGTCCAAATCAGACAGTAGATGGCGCTAAGGAGCCCATCAATGCATTAGTGCCAATAACTCCTAAACCGCTAGTCGTAGACTCAAAATAATTACATATTTAGAATCCTTAGCTCAAAACAAACTAGATAAAAATATTTAAAAAAAATAGATTCATATTTTCAGATGTTTCCCAAATGATGTTTAACAGAGCAAGGACTTTTTCACAGTATTTCCTATAATATTTTTCTTCTAGAGATAGACTTATTAGTTTTATCTCAGCTAGAATAAAAGCAGTTTTTTAAACCATTTTAAGGTCAATATTATTAGCCATCTTAAGCAATATTGTTTTTCAATTATCTACAGAACAAACCATCATTATACATTGATTTGCCTAATTAGCTTAACTTAATAAATACATTAATTAACCTAGTTAAACCTTTAAATGTCACTTTAAGCTGAAAAATATCTAGTCAAATATTATGAACTGTCATCATGCCAAAGATAAAAGAAATCAGTTATTAAAACTATTATTATTAAAAAAAAATCATTCTGCTTAACAGAAATTGGGGAAAAATACACAATAATTCAAGAGGGCTAGTAATTCAGACTTCAGTTGCATGTTAACACTGAACACAGAACGTCATCTTTAAGGTTTTCCTGCTATTATTGTCTCTGCTTTGTTTTGAAAAGCCTATAACCTGCTGATAGTGAGCACAGATGTTAACGCGCATTATTGCTATGGTGACGGCGTTCTATTTGCACATCCGCATGACATGCAATTACCAATGATCACTTCAGCTCGCTCGGAAACGAAAAAACTAATTCCTGATGAATCCTATTCAATATATGAAAAGCCTGTTTACCGTTTGCGCAACTAAGAGAAAACTAGAAAGCGTAATGGGGTGAATAAAGCCCGTGTTCACATGAATAGCTCCATTATTTGTCATCAACATCATGCTGAAATCATAAGGTCATCAAAATAATGGAATGAAGTCAACCACTCCACCTGCGCAGGAGAGATTGTGTGTGTTTGTGTACAGTTGCAGACAGAATTATCAGCCCTCCTTTATATAATTCCCCAATTTCTGAACACATTTCTAATCATAATTGTTTTAATAACTGATTTATTTTAATCTTTGCCATGATGACAGTATATTAAATTTGACTAGATACGTTTCAAGACACTAGTATTCAGCTTAAAGTGACATTTAAAGGCTAAACTAGGTTAATTAGGGTAAAGTTAGGGTAATTAGGAAAGTCATTGTTTAATGATGGTTTCTTCTGTAGACAACTGAAAACAAATACTGCTTAAGGGGGCCCTTAATATTGCCCTTAAAACGGGGTTTAAAAAATTAAAAACGGCTTTTATTATAGCCGAAATAAAACAAATAAGACTTACTGCAGAAGAAAAAATATTATAGGAAATACTGTGAAAAATGCCTTGCTCTGTTAAACATCATTTGGGAAATATTTAAAAACGAAATTCACAGGAGGGCTGATAATTCTGACTTCAACTGCGTATATATGTGTGTGTGTGTGTGTTTTAAACCATATTAACCAGAGTGTGCTGTATTCACATGCTTCACAACAGATCAGGACCAACAGTGAGTAGCTACTAGCAATGGCAACACAATCACATGAACTAAACTAACCTCTTTCTGCGGTCACTACCCTTTGGTAAGGATGGACGCGCAGTTCGTGCCTTCGAACTTTAGTTGCCACAGCACCTGCTTGGATTGCAATAACATCACCAGAAAACAGATCAGATCAGACAGATGGAAGAACAAAAATCATTTAAATTATACAAGATAAGGCACAAATAATACTTCTTCTTTCTCCCATATGTAAATACCGCTGACATGTGTTTTTACAAAATTCATGTTTTTTTTTTTTTCTTCGCATAGCTTTTATGACAGACGCTCTTTATAGCCACGTCATCTTGAGCTGGAGAGACGGCGTCTTTAAATATAATACTGATACAGTCACTCTGAGGGAGAGACCTTTAGGCACGTGTGCTGGAGTACAATAAAAAACAACAATAATAATAAGGAGAAATGTACGCCGATGAATTAAAGGGATAGTTCACCTTAAAATGACAATTCTGTTACTTGCCTAACACCTATTTGAGTTCATTTCTTCCAAAAAGAAGATATTTTGAAGAATGTTGAAAACCTGTAACCATTGACCTCTATTATATTTGCCTTTCCCACTTTAATAGTTCAGTTGTTACAGGTTTTCAGCTGGCTTGACTTAAAGGGGTGTTCATAAGACTTTATATCAGGGGCGCCCAAACATTTTCGTTTGAAGGGCCAGAAACCAAATACCATTGAGAGCCGTGGGCTGAAGATAACTATACCAAACTATTGCACATTAAAGCTGCATTGAGTAATTTTCGAATTTATTTAATAATATTTATAAGTAAAAAGAAAGTATTACTTTAAATCGTATTAACTAATGCAGTTTATATAACAGTTCGGTCTGGCTCTCAAATCTGATTGGCTGAAAGCCTTGCAATATTAAAGTAACAGCACTCGTACAGCCTCTTCACCCTTGTGTATTCCTCCGCCACACGAGTGGCAAGCAAAGGACTACAGTTTGACAGTTATTGCAGCTGCTGGACAACATAATGTACTTTTGAGGCTTTTAAGGTGAGACTGTAGCTGTTTAGATTGCAACTATGCAGTTTATTTATATGGATAGTGCCTATTTTAAATGTTTATAAATTTGGAGATACAGCGCGTCGGCGGCCATCAACCTGTCATACTAAGCAGAGCAAAGACGGTTGATGTTCTGCCACAAGATGGCGACAGAGACCACATAATTAATCCTTAGGGGAGAAAAACTGCATTTTCGCAGTGTACGTTTCAAACTACAGCTAAATAAATTATTCTAAATCAGGTAAGTGACTTTCTAAGCTGATCTCTCTCTTTTGTACTTTGTAGTGCTTTACTTATACCATAGTAATCTGCCAGTGTTTGCATTGCTTTAGCTTTTCCTGGGTTAATTATTGTGAAATTCCGAGAAATAATAGAGAAATACTGGGAAATCTCAGTAGACTGAAGGCATTTCATGCTGTTCAGCCTTATAATCTTAAAATGTGAGCAAAATCACCTGTTTTGTCATAATTTTTGACATTACACAAGAGAATCATTGAAATTTGTAAAGTAGCAACAGTTTATGCTATTCTGAGGGTCAGCTGTAGATGTGAATGAATGGCGAAAGAAAGTAGTTCCTCATACATATGGATACTTGAGACTCTTTGTGTTAGATTTATACACATGATTATGCTGTCAAACTGTTGTATAAACGCAATATCACACTTCTGTGACCGTCACACCCAACTCCCCACCCCACTGAGCGTGATTTCAATAATTAACTGGGCGTCAATAATCCCCCGCATCTAGCGCTACACCACTGGTCACTGGTGGGACACTAAGCCACTCTGCCTGCAGCCTCAAACCCACTGCTACTCTTGTGCATACATCTACACCTTGCTCATATAACTTTTTAATTACATCTTATTGCAATAAAAATATAATCATATTTATAACAGTGTGGTTCAGTGCTGAATCGGCCATTGCCTTGATTCGCTCACTAAAGTCTCTGCATTGTCCTCTATCCGTCAGGTGATGGTATGTACATTTTTAAGTAAACTACAGCATTTACATGGAAACATTTAATTTTTAGTCACTTTTGTTTTTTGTTTATCATTAAAACAAATGCATAAAAGGTTACATTAAATCTGAAATGATAATACCTAAACCATCTCCATGGTTCTCCCCCTCTTCTCAGATGGGACGGAGGGCCAAATCAAGGGTTACCATGGGCCAACTTTGGCCCTAGTTTGTGCATCTATAAAATGCTTTATAGTCATAGTTATGGCATTTAAATGCAAAGATGACATTGTTTGTTATGACAACTTGACATAAACAAATACTTCACAACCGGTCTTCATCTTTGTCATGACGACTTGACATGACCAAAACAACATAACTTAAATAAACATGGTTGTCATGTATGGAGTCAGATAAGTCTCAAAAAAAATTCACGCAAAAGACACGATGTACACATGCGTAGCCAAATTCACGTGCATAAAACCAAATTCGCGTGCGTAAAATATTTATTTATATTCACAAAAAAAATTCACGTGCACAAAATAAAAATACATTTTCCTAAAATACGTTTCAATGTATAAGAGTGTACAAAAAGTTTTGAATGTTTAAAACTTGCGAGTTCATCCTGAATGAGAATGTGCAAATCCTCTTTCACGTACGACTCCCCCCTGGATACGTGTGTGTGTGTATTTTTGAGACTTTCCTGGCAGAGTCAGGGCTACTCGTACCTTTTAGCCAATCAGATGAGAGCTGTATTCAATGAAACCAACTATGCGCTTCTTTTGCGCAGACTGTTCCCCTCCAGCATGGCGAACAGAGAAAGCAGCAGTCACACTTTTTTACATTTATTTATTTGACCATATCGTCACTCTTTTTATCCATTATTTTGCCGCAGCTCCGCTCTTCTTATTTACTGTCTAAATTTGGCTACGCATGTGTACATCGTGTCTTTTGCGTGAATTATTATTGAGTCTATTCTGACTCCATAGTCATGAGCCATTATAATTGTATCATAAATATTTTTCGGATCAAGTTTTCAGTGAAATAAACTACATTTGCCATTAAAGTGTCTCATGAAAAGCGTCATTACTGAGTCAAATAAGTTTATAAGAGCATCATTGATGTTTAATTATATTTTAATGACAAATTCAGCTTGTAGTTAAGGTGAAAAATAAATCAAATATGATTTCATGGCAATCATGTTTATGACAGATTTATGACTAGTCACGTTGTCTTGATCAGGTTGTGATGCATTTGTTTAGATCATCATCGAAGTTTTCATGTCAACAATCAATGTCATCTTTAACACTGAGCATTTAATGCTTAATGACAGTTGTTATACGCATGTATAAAATCACATTCATGTGACGCGTCAAGATTTGAAAGGTTTCATGAACACCCCTTCAAGTGAAGTGCCACCTTTCAGCTTTCTTCAAGATATATTCCTTTGTGTTTAAAAGAAGAACAAAACTCTTTCCTGCCGTTTTTTGGGTGAACTGTTCCTTTAAGTGATTAGTAAAGCATTACAATTTGATCTTTTTCTCCTTGGGCGTAGCAGTCAGTGGCACCGAGGCGAGTGTGAGGAATAGCCAGTGTAAACCAACAGGAGCGAGTGTGACTGACTGCTAGGCCAGGACAAACATCGCTCAAAAAACAACAAGGCAGCTGTGAAAGGAAAGCGTGTCAATGTTAACACTCGGATAGGATGAGGGGCGCAGTGAGGATCCTGGGTAATGCATTTAGCCTTTCGTGGGGAAAGCCACACCTGAGGAATAAAGAAGGCGATTGGGGAATTAGTGGCAGGATTGGTGGCCCTCAGGTGGAAATAAACACACAGGACAGTCAGACAGAGCAGGTTTTAGGACAGTTCAGTAGACGCAAGTAAAAACAAGCTATTTGCTTCTGTTCAAGAGTGTGTACTGTACAAAAATCTGGGTTCTACACAATTGATTTGTGTTGGGAAAACGTGAAGGAATTAAGTTAACTATCAGATTTTGCAAATTTAAGTGGATTGAACATAAAACCATGTCAAGAGTTCACACTTAGCTGATGATTGATTATAAAGCTTGTTTGGTATGCTGTCCCGGGAAAGAGCCCTGAGCTTATGACAACCTCGAGCCCTGGGCTCCCTCCCGTTTGCAGGGCAAGAGGGAAGTTTGAGATCAGGTAAATCTTGATGAACTCCCCTGACTTATTTCTGGCTAATGATGCTCGCTTGCTAAGCGCTTGGCTATGGTATCAATTTGGTATGTTCACTTTACTTAGGTTGCGTTTTTTTTTTGGACGTTATTATCACTAATATCAGGTTAGATTAAGGTTGTGATGTCAGGTGACCAAAATTCATTGTCTAACCAGCGTCTAAGGGCAATGTTACTTTGACGCTCAATAATGACGTAAAATGACGTTGATATTTGGTTGAATTTAGGTTGTGTAGAAAAGTGGCCAAAATCCAATGTCGAGCCAACATCTTAAACCAAAATCCAACATCTGATAGACGTCATAGTGGTAACGTCCACACAACGTCAAGCTCTAACATCATAAGATGTTGAAATTTGGTTAGAATAAAGTCGTGATGTCAGATGACCAACATTTATTGTCTAGTCAGCTTGTAAGGAAAACGTTACTTTGACGCTCAATAATGACGTCAAATCATGTTGATTTTTGGTTGATTTTAGGTTGTGTTAGAAAGTGACCAAATCCAACCTCGAGTCAACATCTTAAACCAACAACATATTGATGTCAAATACTGACATTTATTGATAGACGTCACAGTGGTAACGTCCACACAACGGCAAGCTGTAACATCATAAGATGTTAATATCAGGTCAGATTAAGGTCGTGACTTGTGATGACCAAAATTCAATGTCTTGTCAGTTTCTAAGGGCATCGTTACTTTGATGCCCAATAATGACGTCAAATAACGTTGATATTTGGTTGAATTTAGGTTGTGTTGGAAAGTGGCCAAAATCCAATGTCGAGCCAACATCTTGAACCAACATCATATTGATGTCAAATACTGACATTTATTCGTCAGGCATGGCAACCAAAATCCAACATCTGATAGATGTCATAATGGTAACGTTGACACAACGTCAAGCTCTAACATCATAAGATGTTGAAATTTGGTTAGAATAAAGTCGTGATGTCAGGTGACCAAAATTTAATGTCTAGTCAGCTTCTAAGGAAAACGTTACTTTGACGCTCAATAGTGACATCAAATCACGTTGATTTTTGGTTGATTTTAGGTTGTGTTAGAAAGTGACCAAACCCACCGTCGAGCCAACATCTTAAATCAACAACATATTGATGTCAAATACTGACATTTATTGGTCAGGCATGGCAACCAAAATCCAACATCTGATAGACGTCACAGTGGGAACGTACACACAACGTCCAGCTGTAACATCATAAGATGTTAATATCAGGTTAGATTAAGCTCATGACGTCAGGTGACCAAATATCAATGTCTAGTCAGCTTCTAAGGAAAACGTTTCTTTGACGTCCAATAATGATGTCAAATGACTTTGATATTGGGTTGAATTTAGGTTGTGTTGGAAAGTGGCCAAAATCCAATGTCGAGCCAACATCTTTAACCAACAACATATTGATGTCAAATACTGACATTCATTCGTCAGGTATGGCAACCAAAATCCAACATCTGATAGAGGTCATAGTGGTAACGTCCACACAACATCAAGCTCTAACATCATAAGATGCTGATATTTGAAAAAAGTCATGACGTCAGGTGACCAAAATTCAATGTCTAGTCAGCTTCTAAGGAAAACGTTACTTTGACGTCCAATAATGACGTCAAATTACGTTGATTTTTGGTTGATTTTAGGTTGAGCTAGAAAGTGACCAAATCCACCGTCAAGCCAACATCTTAAACCAACAACATATTGATGTCAAATACTGACATTCATTGGTCAGGTATAGCAACCAAAATCCAACATCTGATAGACGTCATAGTAGTAACGTCCACACAACGTCCAGCTATAACATCATTAGACATTGATATTTGGTTGATTTTAGGTTGTACATTGGACACTGACGTTGGGTTCTGACGTCTGAAGTCCCACAAAGTTGAGGTACAACATGAATCTGATGTCATGTTGACGTGCTGTGCCTGCTAGGATATTTTTAATATCTTCTTTCAATTTTGGGTTAAACTATATGACTGTGACATTCACTATTAAGCTTGATTAATCCTGCAGAAAGAGATTATTGTTCTAAACGATTATATAATGAGACCATGCTATCTTCCCCCCCCCACCATAACACATTAAACTGTCCTAAAACTGCTCTGTAAACATTCTGGCTTTTAACAGATTCCTGTTTTCTGTCATCCCAATTTAAGGAGCCCCACCGTCCCCTCACCATCCTCATGTTGCCCTCCTCCATGGGCTCATTCAGAAAGGCTTGTGCAGCAGTTTGGGGCTCAGTGCTTTGTCTCCCTCATCATTATACACACATAAAACAAAAACAACCATCACATTACAGAAAACAAAAATACAAAACCGAATGAAAGCAGACAGAATGAAGGAGGCCGGGGGAGTCCAGCCAGTCCGATAAGTGGGAGTCAGGGCAGGGGGCGTGTCTGCAGTGAGGGGGAGGGGCTTGTTGAAAGGGGGTGGGGAAAAGAAACTTTAAAAGGGAGGCCGACCAGTTGGCTCTCCGCGCTGGACTGTGATGGGAATGTGACAGGTCTGAAAGCCCAGGTACAGGGGCAGCTCTTCGGCCTTTGAGGACGCTGTATAGAGAGAAGAAAGGGTGAAAATCTCCTCTTAGAACATCCTGTTAGTGTTAGTCATGCTGTTAGCTGATGTTATTATATGAGAGGACGACTGTTGTGTGGCAGTATTAAGTATTTAATGGGATAGTTCACCCAAAAATGGGAATTTATTCACTATTTATCCTCCCTCCAAACTTTTATGAGTTACCTTCTTCTGTTGAACACAAAAGAAGATATTTTGAAGAATGCTGAAAACTTGTAGTCACTGACTTGCATAGTAGGAAAAACAAATACTATGGAAGTCAATGGTTACAGGTTTTTCTTCAAAGTATCTTCTGTTGTGTTCAACAGAAGGAAGACGCTAGTAAAGTCGAGTAAATGAAGACAGGATTTTCCGTTTTGGGTGAACTGTCCCTATATAGCTTTTTATGTACATTATATATTCTTTGTAAGAATTTATATTTTAACGAAGCGATCTAAATCTTTATCCTGAAATGCAAAGAGTTTTGTAGAGATATAAATTGCATATAAAAATTGCATATAAAAATATAATATATATATATATATAAAAAATATAAATATATTTATAAAATGTAAAATCTAATTAATTCTAAATCTTATGCAAAATATTAATAAAACCTATTGTAGTATATAAGTATCATACAAAATTCCTGTACTGTTTATATATATATAATATTATTATATTATATTAAGTATAAATATAATCATCGGCCATTTTATTAGGTATACTAAAGTGACTAGATTTCTGTTTCCTGACACTGAAAATGTCATTGTGTGGTTATATTTATTTATATTCACTGGCCATTTTATTAGGTACACCTGTCCAACTGCTTGTTAAAGCAAATTTCTAATCAGCCAATCACATGGCAGCAACTCAGTGCATTTAGGCATGCAGACATGGTCAAGATGATCTGCTGCAGATCAAACCGAGCATCAGAATGGGGAAGAAAGCTGATTTAAGTGACTTTAAACATGGCATAGCATCTCTAGGGTTTACAGAGAATAGTCTGAAAAAGATAAAATATTCAGTGAGCGGCAGTTCTGTGGGTGCGAATGCCTTGTGGATGCCAGAGGTCAGAGGGGAATGGCCAGACTGGTTCAGCTGATGGAAAGGCAACAGTAACTCGAATAACAACTCGATACAACCGAGGTGTGCAGAAGAGCATCTCTGAAAACACAACATGTCCAACCTTGAGGTAGATGAGCTACAGCAGCAGAAGATCACACCGGGTGCCGCTCCTGTCAGCTAAGAACAGGAAACTGAGGCTACAATTCACACAGGCTCACCAAAATTGAACAATGGAAGATTGGAAAAATGTTGCCTGGTCTGATGACCCATCTTCTGATGGCTACTTCCAGCAAGATAACACACAATGTCATAAAGTGTGAATTGTCTCAGACTGGTTTCTTGAACATGAAAATGAGTTCACTGTACTCAAAGTACCTTCAGGACGTGGTGGAACAGGAAATTCTCATCATAAATGTGCAGCAGACAAATCTGCAGCAACTGCGTGATGCTGTCATGTCAATATGGAGCAAAATCTCTGAGGAATATTTCTAGTACCCTCTTGAATCTATGCCACGAAAAAATTAAGACAGTTCTGAAGGCAAAATGGGGTCCAACCCTGTAATTGTAAGGTGTACCTAATAAAGTGGCCAATGAGTGTGTTTTATATATATTCTTTTTAAAATTTAATTTTACTTCAGCTTAGACTCTGATTTATCAGGGGTCACCACAGCGGAATAAACCGCCAACTTACAACCCTCTCTGGGAAACACATATATTATTCTTTTGGTCAGTGCTTAATGCATTTATTAACGTAAACTTTTGTCATTTTAATTACTATAACAATGTAAAGTGTGATTTATAAAATCTAAATAAACAAAATAATCTCTAGTAGTATATACAGTAACTGACACACAATCCTCGTGTCATTCCATTTGTGTTATTTAACAGATTCGATACTCGACTGAAACCATATCAATCTCACTGCACTGCTCATTAGCATAACAATGAGCTTTCATCCACTTGGACACGCCCACATCATCAGCTGTCACTCATGTCACTGTAAATCTCCCAACACGCTGCAAGCGATTGACCTGATGTAAACCTCTGTATGTGTGAACGGCCCTTCAGTGCCCACAAACCTCCACCCACAGACAGAGCAAAGCTGATTCAGACCTATGAGGATCCCGCTAGAGACCAGCTCAATAAACACACGTCTTGGACAGTAGCTAAACCCTACTTGGTGCGCTCTAATTGGACACGCTGCTCTTGGCACTGGGACGGGCTATTTGTCGCTGCTCAACTTAACACCGTGCCGTTGGGAGAAGCCAGTGTTAAACTGGCAGAAATACTGTTGTTAACATGATATTCATAATCGGCTTTTCTCAAGTGCTTTAATGAAGCCATACAGCTTGTGTGGAGTGGCGAGGACAGGGCTTTTCGAGAGAGAGCGCTCTCGTTAGTCATATAAAGCCACTAGAGCACTTAAAAGCCGAATCATTTATGCAAACGTTTCTTAAAAGGGGGACTTTTTATGACGCTAAATGGATTAACTGGAGAAGCCTTGATGTATTGTTGTTTGCTCTTTTACATTTTTGCTTATGGCTGGTGGTGCCGTGGCCTTAATGGGGGATTTGGGAGTTGTAGGAGGGTAGATTTGGGTTAGTGTATGTGATGGGGGATTTCAAAGGCATGGCATTGGGTAAGGCTGGGCGGTATGACTAACATCTTTCATCGCAATCTTATACCTTTTTCAAAGTCATATCTTTCTAGGTGCACTCCATTTTTTTCCAGCACTTTACAGGTGAGGCATATTACATATTTATATACATATTCATTATATCAGATGCTATTTATTCATTCATTTATTAATTTTCTTTTCGGCTTAGTCCCTTTAATAATCTGGGGTCGGAATGAACCGCCATGCTATTTATTATAGTATTTTAATTTTGATGCTTGCCATTAAATCAACTTTAAATGTGTTACCTTTTATCTAAAATGTATAAATAAATAAATAAATAAATAATAAACCTTAAATCAATTATTGCAACAACATTTGAAAGTTCTGCATTTTTACATTTTTATTCCTACTTCATAAGGTAAAGCAAATATTTTAAAACAAACAAACAAACAAACAAACAAACAAACAAACAAACAAACAAACAAACAAACAAACAAACAAACAAAAAAACAAACACTTAACATTTCTCTTAATCTCTACCTACACTGTTAAAAGCAAATAGTTACTTTACTTTTAAAAGGTCAGTAAACACATTGCCTTAATAGCAACAAGCTGACTTTATTTTAATCAAGTGAGTAAACCCAATTGTCACTTGTAATATACTATACTGACAATATAAGTTATAATGGGTTATAGTCAAAAGTTGACTTATCCTAATCTTTGTATTTATGCAAAAATGTTGTTTTCTTGAAAATTGTAAAGCATTTATAAAGAATAATTTGTAAAGCATTTATGAAGAGTGTATTCCTTTTTATAAAGTAAAGTCAACTTATCTCCTTTAAAAGCAGTGGATTTACTTACTTTCTAGAGTAAAGTCAACTAATCACTTAAAAATAATGGATTTACTCAATATTTAGAGTGAAATCAACTAATCACTTTAAAAGCAATGGATTTACTCACTTTTTAAAGTAAAGTCAACTAATCGCTTAAAAATAATGGATTTATCGGATTTTTAGAGTAAACTAATCACTATAAAAGTAATGGAATTACTCAAATTTTTAAGGAAAGTCAACTAATCGCTTTAAAAGCAACAGATTTACTCACTTTTTAGGTAAAGTCAACTAATCGCTTTAAAAAGCATCAGATTTACTCACTTTGTAAAGTCAACTAATTGCTTTAAATGCAATGGCTTTACTCCCTTTTGAAAGTAAAGTCAATTAATCATTTTTAAAGCAATAGATTTCCTCACCTTTTTAGGTAAATTCAGCTAATCATTTTAAAAGCAATGACTTCTCTCACCTTTGAGAGTAAAGTCAACTAATCGCTTTTAAAAGCAACAGGTTTACCCACAGTTTTAGAGTAAAGTCAACTAATCGCTTCAAATGCAATGGATTTACTAATTGTTGTAGAAGTAAAGTCAACTAATTGCTTTTAAAAGGAGTGAATTTACTCACTTCTTAGCGTAAAGTTAACTAATCTCTTCAAAAGCAATGGATTTACTCATTTTTGTAAAAGTCAACTAATCGCTTTAAAAGCAGTGGATTTACCCACTTTTTAAAAGTAAAGTCAACTTATCGCCTTAAATGCAATGGCGTTACTCGTTTTTAAAAGTCAACTACTCAAATAAATTTAAAGTATTTAAAGTAAAGGCAATAAATGTCATGCAAAATGGGGTTCAAAATCAAATTGGTTGGACTTAACACTGAATAAAGCACATAATCAGTACCTAGGGTGATCATTGGCGTATTGATTTAGGATGTTGTGCCTCAACGACGCTGAAATAGAAACTATTACTAAGATGAAATTTTGCACACTGTAGTTGCAGATTTCAAAAAACGAGCGCACTTCGGCATTGCAGAATACTGTCTATAGCAAAATGTGTTGATCGTCATACCGCCCAGTCTTTCCGCAGGGCCATGCTGAGGGGGTTGATTGGAGAGTTGTGCAGGTGTAGCTCTGCTTACCTAACACCCCGCTGGAGTCGATGGGATACTCCAGGATGGAGGTGGCGGGTGCCAGCGTGTAGGGGTACTCGTAGGGCGTGGCGTAAATCAAGCCCGACTCTGGACCGGGCGGCACTAGGGTGGCGGTGGCAGGGTGGGCCGTGCCGTTGGGCATGACGGTCTGGATCTGGCGGATGAGAGGCATGATGGTGGGTCCCGCAGGCGTAGGCGTGCGCAGAGCTGTGGGTGGCAGGACAGGTGCAGGGCCGGTGATGATCCGAGGCGCCTGGGCACTCGCTGCAAGAGAGAATGCAAGGGCAGCTGCGGTGAGCGGAGTAATGTGAGGGAGAAGGGGTGGATGAAGACAGGTGGGTCAGGACAAAAAAGACAAAAACGGTTAGTTTCATGCACTGTCAAACAGTGAACACAGAGTAGTGCTGTTTAGATGCACTCAACAAGATTCTAGCAACAAACAATTTAGCTGCCTGCACAAAACGAGATGCAACATTACAGAAACATTGAAATACATGCCATTGCACTCCTGACAAAATGGAAAAGGTTATTTTAAATATATGGCATTATTTTAAATATTTTAAACACATTTATTTAATTTATTATTTATTAATTTAATAAAACATATTTATTGATTTTTATTTAAATATCTTAAATACATTTTATTTTTGAAAACATTTAAATACATGCCATTGCACTTCTGAAAAAATGGAAAAGGTTATAATTAATTAATACATAATTAACCTATTTAGACTTAGACTTAGACTTAATGACTGCCATAACACACAAAACACAGAAACACAAAACCACAAGACAAAATAAATAAATTAAGTAAGTGAAATAAGTCACATAAATCCAACCAATCTATAAAAGGAAACAGCCACAATACATAAGTATACAAACTATTATATAAGATATTACACTTAAAAGAATCAGTGGTAACTAATACTATTAAGTCATATATCAAGTAATGAAAATAATATTAACCAAAACTAATAATATTACACATAAAACAATTACACATAAAATAATTCAAGTATATTTTTTATCAAGTATATATATCAAGTATAATTTAACATTATTAATAAGTATATAGGCTGCATGACTGAGAGTTTGCAGTAGGCATGGGCCGGTATAAGATTCTGACGGTGTGATAACCAGTCACGGTTTTACGGTATTGGGCTCACTGCTCTAAAATGAATTCTGACTCCGGCTGTTGATGTTGTCATCCACTCTGCAGATCTCTGGCACTGAATGTAACCCCAAACCATGATTTTTCCTATACCAAACTTGACAGATTTCTCTTAGAATCTTGGGTCCATGCTGGTTCCAGTAGGTCTTCTGCAGTATTTGTGATGATTGGGATGCAGATCAACAGATGATTCATGGGAAAATTCAATCTTCTGCCACTTTTCCAAATGATCAACTATTATTTGTTGCTCTTACAACTGGGATCTATGACAAGACTTTTGTCAGGTAGTGTAAATTTGTTTTTTTATGCTACCGATGTACTAAAATGCTGCATTTATGAGTAGATAATGTACAAAGTTTTTCCCAGAGACTATTTATTAATTAGTAAAGAGAGCAGGGGGAGGAGCCAATGCATTCAACCGTATGCCTTAGTGACAATATCACACTCCTGCAGTTCTTCAGTGCTATTTACTGAAGCAGCAAGCTAAGGATGAGGGTGTCACAACATCTGTTAAATTAAGGAAACATTGTTTTTACAGATAGCAGAGCGTGTTCTCTATTCTTTCAGTTCATTAGCTGCTGAATGTATGCGCTAATTCTGGATCACAATACTGAGACACTCGTCAGAGCATTTGTCAAGGAATCAGGGTTACTTGAGGGAGGATTATTGAGAGCTGTGCTTTGAAAGGGCTGAAAACATCTTTGGAACGGCTTACGTGATTTGATATTGGCGTCTCTGTAGGTGCCGTTGAGAATGGCCAGCTCCATCAGCTGCATCTTCTTCAGACTGTCCTCTCCTTCGGCCTGTTGGTTACAAAAAGGCATAATCAAAGTCAGATTGCAGCTAATAGAGCTATTTTGTTTCTGTTACATCTACTAAAATCTCTCATCAGTTTATCTCATGCTTAGCCGGTGCATTTCTGGCACAGTTGTACATATTTATTGTGCGTTCTTGCTCAAATGTGACAGTAGTAAGAATCTTTTAAATGTAAGCTAGGTGGCATTAAGACAAATTTGTTTAGGAAGCTCTTGACAGTTTTAATAACTTCAGTCTGTTCTGCCATGACAACAAACAAGTTGAGAGAAAAATCTCAAGACAGAAACTCAACATGCGCCCATCTATGCAGGCTTGGATGGACAAAGTGGGAAGAGCAGCAGAAAGTCAATCAACCGCCACTCCCCACCCCTTTCCCAGTTCCCCCCTCCCCCATAGGAGTTGCAGAACAAAACGCATAAGCGTTCATAAAGATTTTCGATTGATTATGAATTTATAGAACCGACAGACATGAAGCTGATTACTATGTACCCAGCTAAAACTATATACTGATATCAACAATGATCTAGGAGGAGTTGGGGATTGAGTGTAGAGTTGGCGAGTAGGCAACGTTTAAGAGAGACTGAACGATTTATGATTGTAATAGACCGCTGTGACATTTCAGAACTGGACCGGTACGCTTTATGAACAGCTGACTGTCAGCTTTACTGAGGTGTCCAACTGAACTAGCAATGCACTATGTATGACAGATACATGATGCTGATTACTATGTACCCGGCTAAAACTATATACTGATATCAACAATGACCTAGGAGGAGTTGGGGATGGTGTAGGGAGTGTACAATTGACAAAAAGTTCAAGAGAAACTGGATGATTTCTGATATTAATAGACCACTGTGACATGTCAGAGCCTGACTGGCACTGTACATGTCATAAATAGCTGACTGTCAGCTTTACTGAGGTGTCCAATTAAAGTAGCGATACGCTCCATATTTAAATACACAACAGTAAATGCAAAGAAATGCAGAGTATTTTTAGTCACATTTTCTTCCAGAAATACTGTTTTAAAAGTACTTTCATACTTTTCTAGAAGCTAAACCATGCTAATGATACCATAAGAGTTATACAGGGCTCAACATATATAAGTACACCCCTCACAAATCTCTCCTTTAAGTTAATAATTTCTAATGGAGACTTTACAATATTATATTTGTGCATTTACATTAGATTAGTACTCTTGTACTAGTACATTAGTAGATTTTAAAATTGACAATCAGATAAGAGCGGTAGCTAAATCTAGCTTCTACAGGTATCAATTAAAGCAAGTAGCAAAATACGGCAATATATACCAAAACAATAGTTTGAGACAGTAGTCCATGCTTTTGTGACCACTCAGTTAGATTACTGTAATGCTCTGTATGTGGGGAGTGGCAGGTCAGTTATTACCTGTTAGCAAATGGTGCAAAACACTGCAGCAGGCCTGTTAACTGTTAAGCTTAAAGGGGATTGTGCTTTCGCTAAGGTATAGGTAGACTTTGTAATGATTTGCCGATGCCCACTAGACAGGCCTCTTTTGTGTTCCACTTACATCAGCGCTGAAAACTCTTTTTTTTGTTGTTGGCATTTGACACCTGATCATTTACATGCCTTTTTAGGTAGTTTAGCAATAGCTTATCTTGTTTTTTACGTATTTTATATACTATTATATAAATTATACTATTAATACTATTATAAATAACTATTACTATACAATACTATATAAATAAATATATATATAAACTATTATACTATTAATAGTTGATTTTGTTGAATGTTTCTGTACAGCACTTTGGCTTACTTCTGTGTTTTCAAAGTGATCTATAAATAAAGTTTGACTCGACTTGACTAGTCAGTACTGAAGCCAAATCTGGAGCTAATCTAATAACATAACTAATGATGACAGTCCAAAATGAGTACACCCACCCAAATTTATATATTAGGGAAAATATTAAATAAAAAATTTTAAAAGAGGAAAATTCAAGAAAAAAAAAATTGTCATTTTTAATTATCCAGACTTCAATATTTTGCACTATTTTAACTGTATAATCTTTCTATTTCTAAAGATGTTCTGTGACCAAAATAATATTTTAATAACTACACCTGTTTAATAAATCTGTTTTGTTCAAATGCACCAAATTTTATGACCTATATTCACTAAGAAATGGATAAAAAACTATTTTCAAAATGGGGTCTACTCATATATGCTGAGCACTGCATATAAATTATTTTTGTATTTATTTTGTATTGGAAATTAACAGTAGTTATATGTATGGGAAAAGCATGCACTGAGGTGTAGCTTTGTATCTGGAGAGTCCTCACGTCTTATAATCCCTCTTACTTCATTATTCAATACTCACAGATAATAGCTGAAAGATTTCTTGTCCTGTTTCAAATCTAACAACAAATAGTACAAAGTCCACAAAAGTTATTTCATTTTTGGAGCTGGAGACTAAGGGCGGAAACATACTGTACACAAATATGGCAAGATAAATGAAGAGGCAGTCTTTCTAGCACATTGTCTTTATTACTATGTGTTCTTGCTCTACTTTGGCGGTAATAAACCTCAGTACTCGAGGGAGTGATAGAGTTTCTTTTAAATGCATGTGCCTTTAAAATGTGTTTTTATTCTGGTAGCTGCCTATAAAAGTGCTGACAGGTTAAACAACCTTTATTAGAATCAGTTCATTTGTTCATGCTCACAAAGAAATTGATGTGGCATTGGAAATCACATTATGTTTTCTTACATGGTTGCAAAACAGACATTATCAAGCAGCATTATGTTATTTTATGTGCTCAGCACTTAACAAAAATAGTGATTTTATTTCCTTTTCCCCATAGTAACATATATCTAAGGATATTTAATACATTATTAAAAGTCAAAAGCTGTATAATGAATGAAACGACTGAATGAAGCTATTGTTAAATAACTATTATATATAAGCTACAGCTAGTAGCCTGAAAAGAAACAGAAACAGTCTGCAGCATCATACTGCCCTGTAGCATCCATTTTAAAGGTGAAATGCAGCCATACGTAGTAGAGTTGGGCTGATGGACGATGCTATCGTCCATCGCCGATGGCCAATAGACAACACGATGCTGAGCTGGCATCGCCGATCCTCCACAATGCCCCCATTGCAAATCCGTTGGCAAAAAATACACACTCAGGCCCCTTTTACACTATACGTCTTAGTGCTAAAATGGCATTTTAGAACAAAAATGATCCACATCCACACCGTTTTAGCATTTCTGAACAGCCCTCACGTGACCACAATCACACACAGACACAGCCACACACACTGTCATGCGCTCCTCTGAGCTCCAGTCAGAGAGCAGTGCACATCAGACAGTTTATCAAGTACGTACTGCTGAATTGTGTCACACTATAGTTGTTAAGTGTGATATTCAGACATTCCAAGTTTCCTGGAAGTTCCGGGAGTCTGTATGCATTTGCGGGACTCAAAATGCCCGCAAACGAGTGATAATCTCCCGGAAATCGCGCGTCTCCCTCCTGGTCCTCAAATAAGTCGAGCACCCTTCTCCCCCCCGGATCTCTCCTCGCTCTGTAGATACGTCGTGCACACTCTATCAAACACTTCCCGCTTTATACATGATGACGATGCAATCGTCCATCGTTATTGGTCGACATCGCCCAACCCTAATACGTATTTCTGGCTACATGGTTCACGCTCACCAGAAATGTATACAAGGGTACATTTTCACAATGAGCATGTGTTGTTAAGGTCAATATTATTAGCCCCCTTAAGCAATATTAAATTTGATTGTCTACAGAACAAACCTTCATTATACAATGACTTAATGCCTAATTACCCTAATTAACCAAGTTAAGCCTTTAAATGTCACTTTAAGCTGAATACTAGCATCGTCAAATTATCTAGTCTAGTATTATGTGCTATCATCATGGCAAAGGTGAAATAAATCAGCTATTAGAAATGAGTTATTAAAACTATTGTATATATGTTTATAAATCTATATATGTTTAGAAATGTGCTGAAAGAAATTGGGGAAATAAACATACAGGAGGGCTAACAATTCTGAGCTCAACTGTGTATTTGGCAGTATTAGTTGGATTGTATCCCCTCCAAATGTAGCATGTGGATCTTTTTTCTAGATTTGCTCTGCAAGACAACAACAACACTTGTAACTTCGCTCCTGATATGATCAGTAATATGAAACGACACCAGAAGAAAATGTTAATGCTGATTTGGGCATGCCAATGTCCCCTCACATCACATTTCCATGCTTGAGTCCCTCAGCCTGTGTTTATGTGTGTGTATTTGCCTTGGGCGGTATCCAAATTTTTATACCGTCAATCCTCCTCCCTATTTTACCTCGGTATCCGGTGCTACCGTGCATAATAAAAAGAATTATGAAGTAAGGCTCAGACAGCATCACCAAACTGTTGTCTTGTGCCTTAGGTTCGCGGTCACCTGTTTGTCTTGTTCGTATTAGAGATCTGCGCGGGACGCTCTCTCTCATTTACACACCCACACTGAGGCCCCGTTTACACTAATGAGTTTTAGTTTGAAAACGCATAAGTTTTGCTACGGTTACGCCATCCGTCCACACTACGCCCGAGTTTTCGAGCGCTGAAAACGGAGTGTTTTGGAAACGCTGGAGAGGCTGTTTTCATTCTGAAATGCTGCTGCTCCGTCTCAGTGTGGATGGGGGAAAACGGAGACATCTGAAAACGGAGGCGGGGCTGCTGAGATTCGCTTCCTAATTGGGGCTATTGTGTCATTGCGTATCCTTCCCTTATTCGTCAAGCCCCTATCACATGACTATAACACATGGCTTTAATGCTAGCGGAAGACAGTAGACCAGCCTTCACTGTAAACAACAACACGGACACAAAAATGTGAGCGCTGTCTGCATTATTGTCTATTTTAGGCACCATTGTGCAGTTATTCATTTGTTACGTTTAGTAACAACTCGACCTCGTCGTCTGTGCACAAAAATACCTCTCCTGCTTTCTTTGCCATCGCGTTCATTGTTCAACCGGCGTTTG